TTTTTTTTTTTTTCTTTAACATCTAAAGTCAAATCTGTGCTGCCCGTATACTCTTAGCTGTGTGGCCTTCCCCTGGAGTATGGTCAGCCTTCAGAGGCCATTCCTTTAAGAAAACTGACTCTCCCTCTTCCAATAGCCATCAGATGCTGATAGCTCCTCAGCTAGGGTAGGCCTTTGTGCCCACCTCCCCTCCATACTAGGGGCTGGCCTTTGAGTTTGCACACGTCTTGTGCGTTTTGTCGCAGCTGCTGTAAGTTTATATGTGCAGCTGCCCTGCTGTGTTCCAGAAAACACTGTTTTCTTGTGGTCACCCATAGCCTCTGGCTCTCACAGTCTTTCCATCTCTGCAGTGGGCCCTGAACCTTGGGAGGGAGGCACCTAATGTAGATGTACCATTTAGGACCTAACATCCAGCAATCTGTCATCCTGGGCACATTGACCAGTTAATCTGTGTTATTCACCATCTACTGTGCAAGCAGAGATTTAAATATTAATGATACCCTATCTTGCTGCAGGCCTCCTTGTGAGAATTTTCTGAGAGTCATTCTTGGCTCCTAAGTCCATTAAATCGTCGTCCCTCAAATCCTGCAGATAATAGCTGACTCTTGCGTGTAAGCTCAGCTGTTGCTATAAGCTCTTGGTAACTGACCTTGCTGTTCCCTCTGTTTAACTGAGAAGTGTTCTGGAGCCAGCTGGCTACCCAGTATTTGTAGCCTTTTGTCAGCTGCTCCCATTGGTGATCTTTCAGACCAGGGGAGCTGGGGGGAGTCACCTGCAACTCCCGAGAAGAAGTTCCCATGGTGCCTCTCATCAATTAAGTCTCCTTCTCTTCTCTCTGGCTATCAAAGGCTGCTGAGTGACATGTGGCAGAGGCTCTCCCATTCCAAGAAGAAGCTAATGGAGGTGTTTCACATCATCCTGAACCAGATCTGCCTCCTTCCCATTCTAGAGAGCAGGTAAGCTCCAAGGAGCGCCTACACATAGCAGGTGCTTCTCATCACTCCTCCACTCCACCCTTACTCTGCCATATAAAATGGGAAAAAACAGAAAAATGCCTCTCGCCAGCTGACAGGACTGCAAAGGGGTAGTGTGAGCATCCAAGGAAACTGCAGGTCATCTTACATTGTATGAGCTCATTTTCCCTATGTCCTGTCCTAGCTGTGACAACATTCAAGGCTTCATTGAAGAATTCCTTCAGATCTTCAGCTCCTTGCTGCAGGAAAAGAGGTGAGTGGGACTGAGCTAGGAACCAGCTATGGGACAGGCCTATGTCCCTCTCTCCAGTCCCATGAGACCTTGCACAGTGAAGCTGCTGACATATACATGGTGGCTAGGAAGTCCAGTGACAGTACTGTTGATCCTCTTAAATATCAGAGGAAAAGGGTAGCCGTTGGATCATTTAAATGGCCAGGCCACTGGTGGTAATGCCCAGCCCTGTCTGCCCAGAGCTGCCCAGCTGAGCAACAGGTGCTGGGGTTCCTGAGCCTGTGCTTGGTTAGCAGAGATGGGGTGCCCTGCCAGAGGACATTGTCCCTATGCTTCTAACCCTCACCCTTCTTTCTGTGCTCTGCCCACAGATTCCTCCGGGACTATGACACCTTCTTCCCTGTAGCTGAAGACATCAGCTTGCTGCAGCAGGCTTCATCGGCTTTGTATCCTACTATAGCCCACTAGACCAAGGCCTGACTAGATCAGACATGGCATGCTGGGACCCAGAGGGGCAGAAGGTAACTCCAGAACACTCACATCAAGAAGTCCAACAAGGCCCCAGTTCCTCTCTCTAGAAGTGACAACTGCTCTTGAAACAAGGGAAAGCCTGCTCTCTCGGTGTGTTCTGAGGGTCTGGGCCTGTATGTTCAAGTTGTACTCCAGAAACCTTGAACCCCTTCTAAGGAGATGAGGACAAGTAAGGGAGTTAGGAAGTGTCCCATAAGAAGAAGTAGGACCACACCTCACGTAGCAGAGGTCAGGGTGGGCATCAGAGGAAAATATCCAAGCCAAAAATAGAACAAATACAAGGTGACCTGTCCCAAGCTTGTGCTGAGGACAGGAGTTGCTCCCAGGGGTTGGAGGACAGAGAGACTTTGAAAAGATCCTCCAAGGCCACATGTGGCTGTGTTGATGGCAATGGCGGGAGTGTCTGGTAGGAATGTGGAGAGTGACCTGGGGTTGACCAACATTCAAGGCCCTTGTGTGTGACACATAGGAAGAAGTTTGGGCTACATGCCACAGTTGCTGGGGAGAATGAGAGGCTGGGAAGCAGGGTGACGTGGCTGTTCAAAGCAGGGTGATGCTTTGAAAAGGCTGTTTGACTCTGGGAGGAGAGTGGCTGGCCTGGGCCCCTCAGACTGAGATTGCTGCTACAGGACTCCCTGCACGAATCATGTGGGTGAAAGAGTGAAGGTGTGGGGGAAACTCGATTTCTAGTCCAGTGTCCAGAGGGCAGAAAGGAGAGCTAGGAAGGAACTGGCCTTTGGGCCATTTCTCTTGCTGGGTCAGGTCCAGTCTTGCCTCAGGGACCCTTGTGGGCCCTCAGCCTTTTCAGAATACCCTCAGCCTCGTGGATAGGAAGTCCAGCGACAGTACTGTTAATCCTCTTGAATATCAGAGGAAAAGGGTAGCTGTTGGATCATCTAAAAGGCCAGGCCACTGATGGTAATACCCAGCCCTGTCTGCCCAGAGCTGCTTAGCTGAGCAGCAGGTGCTGGGGTTCGAGTCCTGTGTGGCAGGGTTCTGGTGTGCTGTTCCACATGACATGCACTGAGCAGCCCAGAAGGCCTCCGGGAAAAACCTCATGGTTGGATGTAGGACTGAGAAGTCGTGCTCCTGCAGAGCTGGGGAAGTGGGTCCTTAACACTGCCTCGTAGGGATGAGACCCGGACTGCCTACATCCTACAGGCTGTGGAAAGTGCATGGGAAGGGGTGGACAGACAGAAAGTCAAGGACGCTAAAGATCCATTGGGAGCCAAGGATCCTAATAATGAAGTCACAGTGACATCAGAGCCAGTGAGTGAAATGGCATCACAGCTGGAGAACTCCGAGGATGAGGAGGTGTGTATTGGGACACCCTGCCCCTGATTCCTTAGCCTTCCTGGCCACCTCTTGAGAGAAAGGCAAGTGGCCAAGCTCCCTACCTTGTTCCTGCCTTTTGGGAAAAGAGTCCTTTGGGATTGGTAGCGTCCAGCACTGGGGCTGCTTGTACTTCCTGGGTATAGAAGAGAGAAGAGCCCTTAAGCCCTTGAACTTGGACTGTCTGTCTTCCCCTTCCCCATTTTGAAACAAGGTATCTTACTCAGGGGTCCAGGTTAACCTTGAACTTAGAGCAATCTTCCTGTCTTTACTTTCAACTTCTGGGATTACAAGCGTGCACTATCCTGTGCAGCCCTGTTTCCCTCTGTGGAATGGAGAGGTGAAGCTTTTGCTTGTGGGCTCCTTCTCTAGCTCCGTCCCACACAGGATAAGGTGGAGCTCTTTTGGTGGCAGCTGAGGGTGGTGCCTGGCCCAGCTCCCAGGAATCACAGGGCTCCACCGAACAAGGTAGGAACTAGTGCTCCCTCTCCCAGCTTTTCTAAGGTCAGCAAGCCTATATGGAAGAGTCCTGCAACCCAGGACTTCTCCCTGTGTGGCATAGGCATGGAGACCGCACAGTCTCAGGGCAGGCTGCTCAGTGGTAACCTACTGCTTGCCAACTGTGTGTGGCATGTCTGCTCCTCTGCATATAGGTGCAGTGCCTGCTTCCATGAGGTTGCTGGGGTTCCTGGGACTGCTTTATGGAATACTTGTGAGTCTAGCTGGTCCTCAGTGCCCCATTAGCAAATGCTACTGTTTTCCAGTTAGAACACAGCTCCTTCTTCCCTGTTTGGTGGCTTCTCTGAACCAGGGAGGTCGTCATCATCCTCCTCCTCCTCATCATCATCATGATTTTCTAGTGCTGGGATTGAACCCAAGCCATTGCTGATGCTATGTAGGCATTCTACCACTAGTAGAATTCTCTAGCCCTTTCTTGTTTTTATTTTCCCATCTCCTTAAAAGGCATTACATAATGAAGCCACATTGGACAGTATGTGAAATGAAGTCTTCTTACTGAAAAGAATGTTACTTAAGGGGAATGTTTCCACACAGCCTTGCTAGTATTTGCTATTACCCTTCAAAGTCAGGTACCTTGGTAGAGTTGGGCAAAGGACCTTGATCACTAACACGTGACTATCTATGGAGACCCTCCTGCATACCAGGTACTCTGGGGATAATGCACATCTCTTCACTGAACCCTTTGAAATAGCCCTATGAGATAATGATACTTTGTCCATTTCATAAGGAGGAAGTGGTTCAGAGAGAGAATACACAGTGCTCCAAATCACATAGGCAAGGTTAACTCAGGAAGTCGGAGAGCCCCTCTTCTACAGTGAGTATAAAGGCTCAATTTAAGTCACGTGGCAAAAGCCGTACAACTAGGAGAGGCAAGGCCAGGGCCCCTGATAGCAAATTCTGTTCTGTTTGGAGACTCTTAGCCTTTTACTTGCTCATCATTTCCTTTGTCATTCTGGCTCTCGTTGCAGTGCATGGGCGCAGCAGCTGCCCTGGGCCCTCCTGTGTGTGGTGTGGAGCTAGACTCACTCATCTCCCAAGTGAAGGACCTGCTGCCAGACCTTGGGGAGGGCTTTATCCTGGCCTGCCTGGAGCACTACAGCTATGATTCAGAGCAGGTGATCAACAACATCCTGGAGGATAGGCTGGCCCCTGAGCTCAGCCAACTGGACCGCAGCCTGGAAAGGTGGGAGACATAGCTGGGAAGAGGCCCTCAAGGCAGGGATCCCTTACCCTGCCTCCCATTTTTTCCCTAGGCCAGGGACTCAGTTTACTTCTTTTTCACAGCAGTGTTTTCATCCGTTTGAACTAGTGCCCTCTTTAAAGAAAACAAACGTGGGGGCCCTCAAGGCCCTCAGCACATGGCTGGCTGTCCCTGCAGGGCCTGATAGGAAGACTTACTAAAGCGGTGTGGCAGTGGGTGCTGACACCACCACCCCCAGCTCCAGCTCCACACCAGCCTTAGCATGGTCCCAGTTTCCCGGCTAGGACAGCTAAAGCCATTCGCTTCCTCTACTCTGGACCTCTTGGTTTTGTTTCACTGCTATCCTGAAAGCCTCAGGAGACAAGCAAGGGCAAGGACACAAGTGGATGCTTCTTCCACAAACAAATGATGAATGAAGGTAGCTTTGTGCCTTCAGACCCATTCCTCAGCCTGTTAGTGTTCCAGTTCACAGATGACATTGCTGAGACACAAGGAAGTAGAGTAGGAACTGAGGGTATAGCTCAGCGGTAGAGCATGGGCTTAGCTTGTGTGAGGTTGCACATTGCATCCCTCATACCAAAAGCAAGTGCCACTGTCCCTACCCCAAAAAGTAAGAGGTAACTTACTTTTTATAACCTGTAACTTCCTGTCTCATAGGGCCATTGTGGGCATTTAAATGAGGGACAGAGCTTTCATGAAATAGAAAACTGCTATGCATGGTCCACAGGGCATGAGGTTAAGGTGTGGACCTTTGGAAGAGCAGGCAGTGCTCTTAACCTCAGAGCCATCTCTCCAGCCCCAGCCTGGCTTTTAAAATGGAGCAAACAATATGATGGGAGGAACACAGTGGGGTGTGGCCAACAGGGCTCTTTCAGTTAATTTCTATGCTATGGCCCCCAGACACGTGAAGCCGGACCCTACACCCCTGTTGACATCCCGTCACAACGTGTTCCAGAACGATGAGTTTGATGTGTTCAGCAGGGACTCAGTGGACCTGAGCCGAGTGCACAAGGGCAGGAGGTGAGTGTCAGGATGCGGGGCTCTGCACTCCAGTTGTGGTGGTAAGGAGGGAAAGCAGAGGCCATTTTGACAGAACTAGCCATGGGTCTTCCGCTTGCAGAGCTCCACCCTCTTCCTTAGGTTATTTTTACTTTATGTGTATGAATGCTTTCCTTGCATGTATGTGGCATAGAGGCACCCAGAAAAGTGCCTGTAACTGGAATTAAAGGCAATTTTGAGCTACCATGTGTGTGTTGGGAATCAAACGTGGGTCCTCTACAAGAGCAACAAGTGCTCTCAACTGCTGAGCTGTCTCTTCAGCCCCTCAGGGGACCTTCTGAGGCCTGGCCTTACACACTGCCAGCCTACAAGAGCAGGTTCTTTAACACTGTGCTTTAGGTCCAGCTGTGGGGGGCAGCTGTTAGTAACTCTTACTCGTTAGTGGTAGAGGCCTGAAGGCCAAATCTGTCTCCTCATCCCTCCTGTCTTTTGATGTGTGGACTGTTGGCTCTATGGGTGGAAAGCTAGACAGTCCTTCCTAGAAGCCATGTTTTGACCGATTTGATTTGTCTCCAGGCTGTGACAAAAAAAGAAAATTAAGTTGTGTGAGTAAGTTTTTCCAAAGATGAAAGAATTCTGTTTCAAGGCTTTCTTTTATTTTTAGTTTGTCTTCCTACTTTCTCAGCATTGAAAACTCCATTCGTGACCTATTCATTCATTCAACAAATATTTGCCTGGTGCTTATCACCCTGGATTAATTTAGTACTGGAGCTGTAGTGGGGAGTAAAGCAGACAATGCCTACACCCATGTGAAATTTGCATTATTCAGCTCATAAACAGGCATGATGTATTGGGCTCCTGCTCGGGATGTCAGCCTAGACAGGAAGGTTCTTCTGGGAAGGTGACAGAGAGCTAAAGGATATGTCACGTGACTCTGCAAAGCAGAGAGGAAACTTGCTAAGCTGAGTGAGCCACAGGAACAATGGCTTCAGGGTCAGTGTGAGCATGGTAATGGTTCCATGAGCTCATGGGTTTTACGTTTTATATAAAGGTTTCCTAAGCTGGGCACGGAAGCTCTTGCCTCTAATTCAAATACTCAAGAGCCTGGGGAGATTTTCATAACTGCATAGTGAGTTCCATCCCAGTCCAAGTGAGACCCTGTATCAGAAATAAAGTACTGGGCTTTGGGATGGTTTTCCCCAGGAAGAAACTGAAATCAGTGGTGATGGCAGAAAGAATGGGGGTGAGGAGAGTTAATCTGCTCCAAAGTTCTGTAGTCACATTGATTCCTAGAACCCAGAAATCCAGGAGCTCTCAAATGCAGCCTGTCCTGTCCCTGTCATGATGGTGCAGTCAAGAGGGTCCAGAAAGGGAGGTAACTGTCAGTCTTATGGCCTGTTCTGCTAAGAGCCCCAGAGCAGAAATGTCAGCTGCTGCTTCAGTTAGAATCCAGGGATGTTTCCTGTCAGTCCTGTGGCCTGGGGCTGTATGCTGCCTGAAGCTTGTAGAGGAGGGTTCAGCTGGCACAGGGCAACTCTGAAGCCATCTGGCCAGCTGGACAGGAAGCCCTGGCACACGGCTTAGTCACTCAAATTGTGACATCCTTGGATCCCAGGCAGAGTTGGGGTCCTGTTGATGGCTGCTGTAAGGAGAGTCAAACAGGGTACCCCCAGGCCAGCAGAAGGCACAGGGAGCCTGACTGGTAGGGTCCTCCACAGAGCTTAGCATCTCTGGGTACAGGTTTTCCTCTTGATATGCATCTGTAGATTCACCTAGGTCACTCCTCATGCCCACCTGCTTGTAGGTCATTTATGAGCATTTCCAGTGGGCTGCTATCAGCTGTCAGGGACATCAGAAGGGCTGAGCAGCCAGGTGTCCTGAAAGCTATGTTTTAATTCTGTGGCCCTCTGGGAGCCTACAGAGACTGGATGACCAGTGTTTACCAATCCCACCATGCTGGGCAGCCCAGGGGCAAGGATTATAAAGAGGCAAAACCTTCACTCATGTGTTCAGTATTTATCCACTCAGCAAATATTTATTAAGTGCTTTACTAGCATGAGATCCTTTGTGAGACCAGGAAAACAAGGTGAACAAGGTGCCCTGGCTTTGCCCACAAAGGGCAGAGACCGTGGGAAAGACAGATCATCAGATAAGCAGGTGCACCCGGAGTTCAGCCGGGACGCCTGTCCTAGTCAGGGCAGAGTGGAAGGGCCCTCCTTCAGGTGGCAGATGGAGTAACACAAAGCTCACACCTGTGTACCTACGCATTGAATCTGGTGAACATACTGGGCAGCTCTGGTAACGAGTTTTGGCTCGTCTCCTGTGTGATCAACAGAACTGGCCAGCTCTGGGCCTCTAATGTGGAGTGCAGGAGTGGACTATCAGGGCCTGTGTGTCTGAGCTGGGGCCGGCTCACATAATCCCAGCACATGGGAGGCTTTGGAGAGTGAGACCAGCCTGGGCTACATTGTGAGATCCTGTTTCAAAATAAATTCAAAAAGAAGAGGAGGAGGAGGTATCACAGGCAGTGATACTGTGTATACAGCACATACTGTATATTCAAGGAGGCTGTGTATACAACATGTGGTCCTCTAGGTCTTTCGAACTGTTCTGTAGGACCCTAGAAGATAGCAAAAGTTCCCCTCAACAAAGGTTTTATGGCTAGATATGCCTGCCTCCTGGGGAATCAGAGTATACTAGCATGTAAGACTGAAACAGAAGAAACAGAATTCATTTTGTTGAGCCTAGCGAATGCTGGTCCATATCGGTATCTTTTATGTCTTGTTTGTTTGTTTTCTGTTTGGGGCAGAGTCTAGTAGAACTCCAGGTAGCTGTCAACTGACGAAGTAGCCACAGGTGACCCTGCGCTAATTTTCTTCCTGCCTCAGCAGACAGACCTCTTGGAGCAGACAGATTCAGACTGCCTGGGTCGCCAAGACCCAGTTTTTAGAAGGTCTGTGCAGAATCTGCATGGGTCTGTGTCTCTTTTTTGGTTGGACCTTCTCCTCGACACCTTCCAGAGACCAGATCTCATTGCTATGCTGGATTTCTTGCTTGGCATCTCTAATTGATTTTCCCCTGCAGGGCCAAAAATCACATTCCACAGGCCTGTGTATGTGGCTGACAAGCCAAGTTTCTCCACGGGTTTGCAAAGCCATGGTCAAGAGACCTGAGGCCCAGTTGACACTGATGTACAGTTCAGTGTGAGCCAGGCGTAGCCCTCCCCCTTCACTGCACCCATCTGGCCTCGCTTATGGCACAACCGACGGCAATTAGACTACCAGACTTTCCTCCTCCCACGGTTGTCTTCCATGGAAGCTGGCACTGTAGAACAGAGATAGGAGCTGCTATAGTAAAGGGGGTGAGAGGAAGAATCCAGACCCCCTCTTGCCTTAGCCAAGAGTCTTGAGGCTTTCTGGTGACTACGACAAAAGCTGCAAGCTGCGTGTGGCTCAGTGTAGTCCGGGGTGTAAAGAAGTGAATCCAGCACCTATCTGGGCCTTTTGCCCTCTACAGTCTTCCAAACCTGACGGTGTCCTCCCTCTCTCCCTGCTGTCCCTGGCTCCAGGAAGGAGGAGAACGTGAGGAGCCTGGTGAATGACAAGCGGGCTGTGGTGTCGCAGCGGCAGCGCTACCAGAAGTACAGCGTGGTAGTGGAAGAGGTAGGCTGCCCAGCCTGGGCCTCTGCTGGGCATGGGAACTGCAGCAGCCCCTCAGGCCTCTCTCACCCACAAGTCTGCTGTTGCAGGTCCCACTGCAGCCGGGAGAGTACCAGGTTGATGACTATGAGGATGAGTATGATGACACGTACGACGGTAACCAGGTGGGCGCCAACGATGCAGACTCCGATGATGAGCTCATCAGCCGCAGGTGAGATGTCAGGCTGACACACCAGCGTAGAGCACAGATAGCCAGAACACGGCACAGCCGGGCTTCACCACCCCCTGCTGCACCCCACCCCCTTGCTCCTTCACCTCAGCCCACACTAAATCAGGAAGCATTTATTAGGTCTTAGCAGGTCATTTTGCTTGTTTTTCCCTAAACACAGAACATTTTCTCAGCAGAATCTTGTAGAGATTCCCATATTGCAGATCAAAGCAGGGCTTCCCTGATGAACAAAAAGACTGGAGATCCCCAGGGCCTCAGCCCAGCTATCCCCTGCTCTCTATACATCAGACCATGGGTCCTTTCTTTAAAGAATCTGGGGACCAAAGCAAAGCCTGCTTGAAAAAGCCTGTGGGTACCCTGGCTTCCTGGGCAGTGCTTCCCAGCCTTCTCCCTGAGGCAGGAGGCTACTCTCCAAGGAGAGCCTGTCTTTGATCTCACTTTGTCTTCCAACCCTCAGGCCCTTCACCATCCCTCAGGTGCTGAGAACCAAAGTGCCTGGAGAAGGGCAGGAAGAGGAATATGATGAAGAGGAGGAGGCTGAAGAGGAGGCCCCCAAGGTATGTCCTGGGCAGGTGGCAGATAAAAGAAATGCAGTCTGAAGGGCAAATTGGAAGCTCTGTGCTTTCCATCTCTCCCTGCCTCAGACCCTGGAGTGGCAACACAGGGAGTCAACACAGCTTCTGGTTTGGGGAGGGTCCTTTTAAGTACAGACTGTTTGGAGAGCTGCTGGCTTTGATCCTGCCTCCATTGCTCAGGGGGTTCTCGGGAGCCAGATTAAAGGCTGGTTCTGTGAACAGCTGAGTTCATTATGTGTCATGGTCTAGGAAAAGGAAGGGTAGCCTAGATAGCAGTTCTTAAAAATCAGAAAAGACCTGGAGCCCAGAGGCTCTGGAGCCCAGAAGGTCTGAAAACTCAGTTTTAGCAGCTGAACTTTTTCTTGGGCTTAAATCTTCACTTGAAACTCAGCATAAAAAACAGAGGAAGTAACCTTGCTCCAGTTGAGGGCAGTAGCTGGGCCCTCTGAAGTCCCTAGCCCCAGAACAGGGGACAGAGTCAGGTGTTTCTAGAGCTGTGGAGGGCCTGGCAGGAACTAGCATGAGTGGTGGCAAGCATATGCCCTGCCACTGGGCCCTCAGCCCATCTGCTGCCTTAGCTCAGGTTTGCCCAGGAAATCTACCGTCTTTCTGTGTCACTAATTCTAGTCCTTTGGATTTTTTTTTTTTTTTTTTTTTAAGTATGCTATCTGTCAGAACCTGCCTGTTTACTGAGGTCCCAGCTTTCCCCTGCACAGGTCCACCATGCACACTGGTCATAGAGAACTGTCCTCAAGAGGAGTTCTCACCCAGCACTCTGCTGTGGCATCAGAGGGAAGCCTCTAAGTCTCAGGGCCAGCCTGTTTCCAGGGCCTCCACACAGCTTTCATGGCCCCTTGTGTCCTTTCCTGTTGGCCATCTCTGCCAGCCAAACACACGCCCAGTGACGTGCCTCCTGTGGTCCTCTCAGCCCAGTGGCCTGCCCGACATCCTCCAGCTCCTCTCCTAAAGGAAGCTTCCGGTGGCTGCCACCTAGCTCCATCCTGAGTGCCTACCCTGCCTGCTGTCGCAGTCTGCATCCCACATGGCTGCAGCAGGATTTCTTCCAGCATGGCCCCACACAGCCTAGGGAAACGGAAAAGCTCATGGTTACAGATTTTGTCTTCTCTTCACTCCACAGCCAGACCATTTCATCCAGGATCCTGCAGTGCTGAGGGAAAAGGCTGAAGCCAGGCGCATGGCCTTCCTCGCCAGGAAGGGGTGAGCATTGGAGTGACTAATTCACCTGGAGGAGACCCTTTCAGGGGAGCCCAGCAGGCCGTGCAGGAATCCCTGGGGCTTTTGGGGGTAGTAATTTAGCTAACATTCATTCATTCAGTAATTCAGCTTTAGGAAGTAACTACTAATATCAATATCATTCTCTGCATTGGCCCGGAGTCATTAGTAAAGGTCATTAAGTGGCACCTAAAGATCGAAGCCAAACAAAGCGTGTGCCTGTAGTCTTAGCTACATGGGCTGAGTCAAGAGTTTGAAACCAGGATTTCAAAAACAATCTGGGCAACCTAGGTAAACCCTCTCACACATGAATAAAGCCACAATTACACTGTGAGCCTGTGGTCCCAGTGTGCAGGTGGCAAAGGCAAGAAGGTCTCTGGTTCAGAGGACACATAGTAAGAGCCTGTCTCAAAAACAAGTACATAAAAAAGATGGAGCCCAGATGCCTCAGCTCTGTTTTGCACACTCATACTCAGTACTTGACAGTGTATGTGTGTTGCTCAGCATGTGAGTGTGTGCAAAGCCAGCTGATAGCAGCAGAATAAAAGAGCCCAGGCAGAAGACACACCTTAGTGGCTTAGGGTCATGGTAGGGACACAGGACACTTGAGCTAAGTCCCCAGGAAACAAGTCTGTCAGAGAGAGGGTCTTTGACAGGAATCCCTGACATGACTTTCAGGTTCCCTCTTTTTCGTAGTGAAGAAACTGGCCAAATAGACCAAGGGTAGAAATCCAGGCCTAACCTAGGCTCTGGGTGCGGGTGACCTCACCAAGAGACATTTGGTTTCATTCTAAAGGCAACAGGGAATCATAGGTTGTTGGTAGAGAGCAAAGCTATTCTGACTTCTTCCATCCAGCCCTGATATATGTTCTGAGTGGACCCCAGAGGCTGATGGCTGAAGAGATGCTCAGTCAGGTCTATGAGCATATTTGGCCTTTGGGGACCACCAAGTTAGGGCCTGATATGTAAAATAAAGCATTGTCAAATGGGAGGAGGGGTGCTGTGTGGCAGAGGGAAGGAACCTACCATTCAGCCCACTAACAGTATGTACACAGATGGCTGATGGGCATGGGAGGAAATCAGGCCTAGGACTGGGGTTCCATTTCCCTGCCTACCTGGACCTGGCCAGGGTATGTCCTCAATGGTAGGCACCAGGGTGGGCTGCAGGGGTCTTCCTATCAGTCTCTTCCAGCTGATGTCTCTATCATGAAGTGGATGTTGTTCCCTTAGGTACCGGCCTGAGAACTCCACTGCAGTGATGGGCAGCCCCAGGGGCCATGGGCAAAGCCGAGAAACGACCCAGGAACGAAGGAAGAAAGAAGCCAACAAGGCAGCCAGAGCCAACCACAACCGTAGAACTATGGCTGACCGCAAAAGAAGCAAAGGCATGATCCCATCCTGAGGCCACAAGCTGCCTGGACGAGGGAGGCCCCTCAAGGCAGCTCTGCCCTCAGGAGCCCTTCAAGGCCACCGCCGCACCTCACCTACCAGCCAGCCATGAGCGCCTTCTTGCTGAATACATAGTGCCTTATCCCTTGGTGCAGGAACCCAAGGCCATCAAGCAGGCTCTCTCCCAGCGTGCTGGCTGGAAAGGGTGGGGTGCAGAACCAGGTGTCCCTCATCTTGTGAAGCAAGACACATCACCTCACAGAAGTCCTGGATGGCAGGAAACTTGTATATTCAGAAGCAACAGAAGGCCCATGAATAAAGTTTCTGACCTTCCAACAATGCTCCATGACATGCTCCAGCCTTTTCCATCTGTCCTTCCTCAGTGACACTAAAGACAAGAAAGCACAGTAGTCCCCCTACTCTGTCTGCTGACTTTCCATGCCTGCCCTCTCCTAATGTTCTTCTTTGCCGTGTGACCCTGAATACATCTCCCTTTCTCTGTGCCTGTGGAAGGAAGTGGCCATTGTGAAGCCTAGGGTCCCTTGTGTTACCTCATGCCCCTCCTCCTCAGGAGGTAGGTACTGTTTTCAGGTCACAGAACAGACAAGGGTAATGGGACATGGAGGGCTGAGGGTGTGTTCCTAGGCCACAGGCAGGAAGTGCAGAGCAGGTCTTGGCCCCTCACTCTGATCCTTGGCAGTACAGGGTCCAGATCCATGTAGGTGATGTCAGCCCCTGTGTCACAGCTGGCACAGGGACACTTGGCCAGTTGCAGAGCCTCATAGTTATAAATAAGCTATTTCCCCTCTCCCCCAATGTGGAGCTTGGAAGCCTCTAAAAAGAAGTGAAGGTATGCGCCAAGCCCTGTTGAAGCAAGTAGGACCTAGCAGGTTTCCAGAGCCCTTTCCAGGCGTGGCCCACTCTGCAGTGGAAATCGGGTAACAGGTCTCCTGGGCTTAGCTAATGTGCAGTGGGATCTACAGTGGGGTCTTTGCTGAGCTAATCCTGACCAAGCAGCGCCTAGAGTCTTAGTAGGAGACCTTTTGGATGGCGGGGACATTGATTTGCTTGCAGTTAGGACAACCAGGCAGGCAGATACTTGATGGATTGTTTTGTTAGGCCAGTCTGTACAAGTGAAAATCAATGGCAATCCCTCTGTGCCTCACTGGCCTCTGGGAGCATTTGAGATGCAGAGCAAGTACAAGGTAGTGTCCTCCCCAAGGGCTGCTGAATTAGCTGAGATCTGGCAGAGTTAGCCATGGTGACAGACAGCAGGAAACTGTTTCCTCCTGGAAGCACTTACCAGTGGCCCAGCTCAGTAGCAGGGTCATTTCTTCTCTTCCTGACTGAACTCAGACCAAGCTGCTGTCTCTCATGCAGAGCACAGGCTTGAGAGCTCCTGTCTCCACGTGCTTTGCCCACTGCTGTTCCCTGCACCAGCTCTTGGCCATTTATGCCTTCAGTCACCTAGAGGACCACCTGCTTTCCTGGGAGCAGGCTATCCGAAAGAATCACCATCTTTCCATGTTTCCCAGCATGTTGGACCAGATCAAACAGAATTCCCTCACACCCCAGGAAGCTGAGGCTTGCCCCTTTTAGCTCTCTAGAACAGCCTTTCATAGCTCTTTGAAATCAGCCCGGAGCTTTCCTGTCACCCCATCCCTTCAACTTGAATGAGAGCACTGGACCAGATGGGCGGCACTGTGTTGTGTAGGTGAAGTTCCTAGAGATGGAGACTGAGGCTGAGCCCTACTAACACAACATGCACAGGGCTTTAGCTTTGTCCCCAGTACTACCTACACAAAGGAAGTCCCCAAGGGAGTCCAAGATTGCAAGAATCCAAGGCAGCCCGAGTGCTGGGTGAGTGGACCATTTGGCCCCACTCCTAGCCCTCCTTTCCTGTGCGGGTGTTTTCTAAGTGCCTTTTGTGTGCCCTGCAGAGAATATGACCATCATAGTTGTTTCTGGAGAAACTTCTAAAACCTCTGAAAGGACATGAGACCCAGGTGTCTTTATTCCTTGTGTATGAACGGTCAGCTGCCAGAGCTTCTGTGCCCCTGTGAGGCAAAACCAGAGGTGGATTATAAGAGATCTAAGAGTTTGTGCGAAGGAGGAGTGTGCCCGTAGGAGCTTAGTAGTGGATGCATGCCCTTGCCAAATTGCCCCAGCTTCAGCCTGGAGGAGGAAACAGTTCGCTCAAACCTGCATGTCACTGCCCCACCAGGAGCTCAGCTTCAGGAATAGTGCAGAAAAATAAACTCAGAGTCAGCCAGAGCTAGACAGATTTACTTCTTGGGAGATAGAGACAGAGTTCAAGGCTAGCCCAAGCTACATGAGACCCTGTCTATAAATAAAAACTCTTTCTGAAGACATCATGTGAGGCATTGTTTGTGAGACTGTCGGAACCCCTTTTGCACACAGACCGAGTTTGGAAGGAAATGTGTGGGTGATGGTAGTGGCGGGACCATGATTACTTCTATTGGGAATGAACAGGTTTCCTGAGCCTCATTCATGCCAGAGTTTCTCCTGTGTGTTTTCCTAGTTTGTTCTCTTGCTTAATCTTGCAACATCTTGGGTGAGGTGAGAAGACTGAGATACAGAGGCCCCCGGTCACACAGCAAGGGGCGGCACAGGGTCAGTCCCAGGGATGTCTCCCGAAGCCTTACTCTCAGCTTCAAGGCATACTGTTCCCTCTCACTGCAATCGAAGAGGGCACAGGCTAGTACTTACAGCACAGGGTGCTCCGACATGCTAGGCTACAGGGATCCCCAAGTACATGGGATATCGTCCCAGAGATGGGCTTCCTTTTATGTTTTTTAAGACTTATTTATTTATGTATATTAGTGCTATAGGACCTCTGGAGGAGCAGCCAGTGCCCTTAACCGTTGAGCCACCTTTCCAGCCCAGAAACGCATTTCTTTTCTTTCTTTCTTTTCTTTTTTCCTGTTTCCACTTTCAAGAGGTTTGTCTAGTCGACTGTTCAGCCTACTGAACAGTATGTTTTAAAAGAAGGAACTGTTTTAAAGCTTTGTTTCTTTTTTTAAAAAAAATGTGTGTGTGCTCAGGTGCCCAGGCAGACCAGAGGAAGTTGGATCCCCTGGATTGAGGTGCAATTACGAGCTTCCTGACATGGATGCTGGCAGCTGGATCTGGGGCATCCACAAGAGCAGTGCACACTCCTGACCTCTGAACTGTCTCTCCAGGTCCTCATTTTGTCTTGTGAGACAGAATCTTGATATGTAGCCCAGGCTGACCTCAAATTTGAGCTCCTCCTGCTTCAGCCTCCAGTGCACTAGGTTTATAGACGTGAAATCTCTCCTCAGGAAAGTGGAGTTGTGGTGTCCCAATTGGAGCCTGAGTGAGTTTGATCACAAGCCCAGCTTGTCTCAAGGCTCCAGCCCCAAACAGCCAATATCCACTCCTGGGAAGCCAAGAGTGGAGGACTGGAACTCCTATTTAGAGCATGCACTCCAAAGCCCTTGTCCGCATGTGTGCATAAGGTCCACCTCTGTCCCCTGGAAGTCACAACACAAAGGGCACAAGAGCAGAAGGATGAAGACACCAAGGGTGTTTGGGCACTGGGCAGCAGCAGGAGGTCATCAGAGGCTATGGGGCTCAGCCTGGCTTGGCTCATAGGGAGAGGAGAGAAATCAGGGAGGCTGCGGGAGAGCTGGTTCTGGAACTCAGCGTTGAAAAGGAGGCTCAGAGGTAAGCAGGTAGGTCGGCACAGCCCTGCTTTTAACTTTCTAGAAGGAGCCAGGGCTCCAGGCGCCCACCTGAAGGAAGGGTGGACTGAAATCCATACCAGGCCGCTAAGCCATCCCTGGCCTCTGCTCTTACTAAGATTCCTGGATATGGAGCAACCAAGGAGGGTCCTGGAGGAGGCCAAGGGTGTGGTGGTTGCAGCTCTGTAGCCCTGACCACAAATGAAAAGTTGATTCTGAGGCCAGAGCAGTGGCTCAGCAGTCAAAAGTGCTGGCTGTTCTGAGGGACCCTGCTTCCATCCCCGGCACCTACATCGTGGGCTCCAGAACTCCAGTCCTGGGGAAGCTCTCTCTGGCCTCCCAGAGCATTGCACGCACAGGGTGCACGTTCACAGACACACAGGCAGGCAAAACACCTACCCATACAAAAAAAAAAAAAAATTTTTTTTAAAGTTTGATGCTGATGACAGTACCATCTACAGACCCATGTTAGGAAGAGGGTGTCAGCAAGAGTTGAGTCTGTGAACTAGCCATGAGATTTTGCCTTCGTATCACACACAAAAATCTCTACCACCAGCTAGGGAGAGGGTTTTATGCAGCTGTCAACTGGCCTTCAGCACTCTCAGCTTATTAAACCCAGCAGGCCCTATGTCTTCCGCTGCACACACCCCCCCCCCCCCCCGGCACACAGTCTCGAGGGCTGGCGAGGTTCGTGGGGCTCTCCCAGACACAGGGTTTTCATCGGTTTGCTTGCTGTGGTCTGAATGACTAAAGTGACAGGCACCAAGTTCTAGTTTTCCAAAAATGACGCTACAACACCAACTGCTTTTCCAGCTATCAGACATGCACCGTTTATCACCGTGACATGTCTCTTTAGGCCTCTGCCATCCCAAGGAGGTAACCGTGCCCCTCCCCCCACCAAAACAAAAAACTGGTTTTCACACAAGAGCCATATAGAAAAGGAGCCTTCAGGGGGCCAAACCCTGATTCCTGTAAGCTCCAGCCTGGTCTTTGGAGTGTGTGCACACAGGCTTCAGCCCTGCCTCCCTCTCACATTCCCATCTGCCTGCTCAGCATTCTTTCACCCGAATTCTCAGGCCTGCTCAGGCCTGTTCTTTTTATTGCTAATCCATCTGTAAAGGAAGACTGGGGTAATCAGAAGGGCAGTGGACTGAAGGCCAGGAGCCAAGAGGGAAGGAGTGATCGAGCGGGCAAAGCGGAAGCTGCCTAAGCATGAGTGCCTGGGTTCTGATCCCCAGGACCCACGTAAAAGCAATCGCCCAGGAGCGCTGGCCCAGGAGCGCTGGCACCTTTAATCCCAACCCTGGGAGCCAGAGGCTAGGGGGCCAGCCTCATTTACACAGCAAATGTAAGCAGCGACAGCAGCCCCTCAGTCCTTTGCTTAAGGAATGCGAAGTAGCCAAGGCAGAATTCAAACAGGTGAGCTAGCCTCCAAAGCCAACGTCCTCAACTTCAGCTTCTTGCTTCTCTCTAGTCCGGTACCTGAGCTGGGGGGTGGGGGAGAAGTAGTCCATTATGTCCCCGATTCTCAACAATCGTCTGCTGATGCAATTTATAATTGAAGCCATTCTGTAAACGGAGGGTCAGGGGGAGCTGGGCAGAATACATTTTTATAATTTCCACAGCCTACATCAATGGAGGGAAGGGGTCCCGTAGGAGGACTCGGTTGGAAAGGCTTCATTACACAATCAGACATCACATGAAATTGCCACCAGAGGCTGGTAGTGGCCCTCACTGCTGGCGGCCTGCACAAGGGAGACAGATCTGTGCAGACACCTAGGACAGAGAAGTGAAGAGGATTCGGTTGCACAGGGGAAGGGGTGGGATGAGCTAAGTACTGTCCCAGGAGCGTGCGAGGCTGAGGGTTTAAATAGCTCTGGAGATGTGTGAGTGCCAGGGACACAGGTGGCCACCAAGAGAACATGATCAGGCCTCACAGGGAACAGCAAGCAAGAGACATTTGGATGACTCAGCTGCACAGTCGTCCCCGAAGCTCTCAGCCCACACCAAGCGGATCAAATATGCTAATTCATGCTGCTCCCTGGAGCCTGGACAAGGAGCCCCCATTGAATTTTTTTTAATCTGGCTAGAATTATTTTATAAGTCTTTTGCCTGCATGCATGTCTGTGCAACCCACAGAAGCCAAAAGAGGATGTTGGGTCCCTTGGAACTGGAGTTACAGATGTTTGGGAGCCCTCATGTGGGTGCTGGGATTGAAATCTGAGTCCTCTGTAAGAGCAGCAAGTGTTCTTAATGGCTGAGCCATCTCTGTGCCTGTTCACTTCTTTGCTATTGTAGTATAACAAAATCAACCAGGTAAGCGTGGGCTCAGCATACTGTGAATACTGTGGCACAGCTTCCCCGCCACTGTGGGAGGCACTGCTCCTTACTGCTCCATTTCCAGGAGGCAGCCTGCCGGTATCCCCACAAAGAGACTGGTAGGCTAGGACTCCTTTTTTTTTGAACACGTGTGCGTGTGTGCACGCATGTATGTGCACAAGTGTGCATGTTTGCACACGCATGCATTCTTATGTGAAGATCTGAGGACAAATATCAAGAGTTGTCTTTTTTTTTAAGTTTATGCATGTGATTGTTTTGCCTGTGTGTATGCCTTTGCACTATGTGCATGCCTGGTTCCAAAGGGACCAGAGAGGGTATTGGAGCCCCTGGGATGGGGGTGATAGACTGTTATGCACTGCTCTCTCCGTGCTGGGACTTGAACTTGGGTCTTCTGAAAGAACAGCCAGTACTTTTGGCAGCGGAGCCATCTCTCCAGTCCCTGCATTTAGCTTTGCACATGGGTGCTGGGATTGAATTTGAATGATCGGGCTTGTGCAGTTAGTGCTTTTACCTGCTGAGCCAATTCTCTGGTCTCCGGGGTAGGATCTGAACTCAGCCGTTCTGTTTCCATAACCCAGGACCAGGCACAGATTGCACAGCTCAGCAAGGGCGCTAGTTTATGGGTTCACCAGAGACGTGTGGAGAAGCTAAAGAACAGGAACTTGATCTTGCAGGCGGTGGGGAGCCTTGAGCAGGAGAGCTGACCCGGAAGCTTCACAAGGGTGTGAGGGAGAGGGTTTTTCGCCAGAGTTTGGAAACCAAGCTAGGACAGAAACAGCAGGAAGGCTGTCAGCACAGGCTACCAACTGAGCGGCTCCTAGCCAGCATTGTCTCCTCTCTATCATTGCTCTGTCCTTGGGGCCAGCTGGCATCTGCCCTTGGCATTCGGTCTGTATATAAATTCAATTGTATCAGGCCAAGGCCGTGATGAAAAGAGAAAAATGAGTTTTCCATGGCTTAGAATAACAGAGATGAAGCTGGGCAGTGGCGGCGTACACCTTTAGTCAGAGCACTCAGGAGGCAAAGGCAGGTGGATCTCTGAGTTTGAGGCCAGCCTGGTCTACAGAACGAGTTCCAGGACAGCCAGGGCTACACAGAGAGACTGTCTCAAAATAATAATAATAATAATAATAATAATAATAATAATAATAATAATAGATATGAATTTTCCCTCTGCAATCAACTGCCTTGCCTTTCACTTTTACTGGCCACGTCACCCTGGCAAGCCAACCTGTCTGAGCTTCCTTTCCACTTACAATGAAGTAGAAAGCAGTGCCTTTCGTGAACGCATGCATGCGTGCATGTGTGTG